GCTTGGATATCCTAAAGCCTAGTTCTCATTCATCGCAAACTGTCACCGACGATCGGCGACGATTATCACCGATGCTCGCCAATTGTGAATGCACAAAAGTTCTCATACATCAGTGATCGTCGCAGATGACAGCCGATGTGTTTCGAAATTTCCCACCTGAAGGCACAAAATGGCCCTGTTCAACGTTAAGTTCATGATTTCTGTCAAACTTGAGTTGATTATTTTCTTGCTTGTTGAGGAAAAAACAACTTTTACTCATTTCTTATAGATTTTTCAAGCAGGTGGCAGTCTGTGATGATCGGCGATGGTTGCAAGAAACAAACTTTTTTGTTTCATCCACCGATGGTCGGCGACAATCACGGAAATCGGCGATATAATTTGATGTGTTCTCATAAATCGCAAGCGGTCGCAGACGTCGCAAAGCTCCCATCGCCGACGGTTTGCGACTAGGCTTAACAATGAAAACGTGGGAAGTTTTGAAAGTAAGTACTTCCCAATCTCTAACTTACTTACATTCAAATTCTATCACAAATTTTTCTTCCAAGCCCAGAACATGGTTTAAAATGTATCTGATGACAAAATAATTCCACCAAAAGGTTCCTCTTTTGTTTCTTCATATGCCTTGAATAAACATAGCGATTGTGTGCTGCTGTTTAGCTCTTACTTGCTCAGTGCATTCTGACACATATCACAGAAAGCAGTTGTTTAGCAGATAGCCTGTGACATATGTTACTGGATTCATCCCGATGTTACTTTCCATGCAGGATTTGTAGTTGGTGACATCAACTTCCGTAGGAGCTTCGGCTGGTCTTTCTGTGAAATCCTGTGCAGGTGACTTTTGATGCTTTCTGGAAGTTAGACTTGGCCAGTAGAAATGCATCTGGGTCCTCTGTGCAGTTTCCACTTGAAAAGACTAGACAGTGGTCATAAAAAGTTTTTTGAAAGCCCTGGTGAATTGGAGTAGGGTAAGATTATCGGAATTGCCTCCCTTCTGCTCTATTATAATAGCTTTTACACCAGTTTTTAAATATGTTGAACTTGTGCTCTTTAGCAATGATTTAAGAAAGCAAATTAACCACTAGTCATGCCATTCACCAAAGCAGTAAATTAAGATTTGGCGTTTGAAGTTGTCGTTTGGCGTATAAATTTCATGCTTGAACTGCTACAAGGGCTTGTAGTCGTTAAGGCATGAAATTTATACGCCAAACATCAACTTCAAATGCCAAACATCAACTTCAAATGCCAACTTTAAACACCAAGTCTTAATTTACCGCTTTGGTGAATGGCATGACTAGTGGTTAATTTGCTTTCTTAATTCATTGCTAAAGAGCACAAGTTTAATAAGTTTAACATATTTCAAAACTGGTGTAAAAGCTATTATAATAGAGTTGTAAATCAAAAACCTCGCTAGCAGTTTGCCGTAAACGTCAATCTAAAGGTCTCTATTGTCCATAGGGATACAACTCCAGTTATGGCCAGACACAAACCATTGAGACATTTTAAGTTGTTTGTGTGGTCTTGCTGTGTGGCACAATCAATGACTTTGATGGATTTGATAAATGATAACATGTCTGAAAGAAACTCATGGTGAACAGACGTGTCACGTATTGGTCTTCGATGTTGTTTTGGACTGTTTAATGTTGAGCTGTTCAGACAGTCAAATATTTTGTTGAAATTGGCAACAAGTTCAGCTGGGCTTGCACCAGTTGAAGGTAGGGCACCAAGACTAACATAGGTAGCAGAGTGGCTGAGAATTTGGGTAGCAATATTTAACTCTCATCTTGGTCAATGCAGTTAAATGCATGGTTATTTGTCCGTTTTTGGGCAGCATTGAATTGTTAGTCACTTGTACATGTCCCTTTCATACATCGTTAATATATCATTCCATGGGGCAATGTTGTGGCCATAATAAAAGTTGTAATTAATTAAGTTGTTCCTGACAGCCTTTATTAGTTGTGCGGGGTGGGGTGGGAGTGGTCGAACAAATAGAAAATCATAAATTTATGTGACACCCCCTTCCCTAAACACATAAAAAAGCATACTTTCTTTAATTTAATGAAAAACGGGTTGCATTCCTCCCAGATCTTGTCTGAGTCATTACTATTACACTAGTCATTTCAGCATTATTTCCTTCTGCTTCGTTGGAGCTTGAACCAATTTCTGCAAGAACATGTCAGTTTCATCCTCATCACATGATGTTAATGGGCTACAATTTCACTTTCATCTCGAGAATCAGAGTCTGATTTCTCTTTCAGCTGTTGACTGGTAGCATTGAATTGGTGTGTAATGTGTCTCTGGACTGCGGATACTATTGCTTTCTTGTTTGAAGCAGAGTGCAGCTTGTGATGTCTCTGGTATTTATCCAAAACAGCTACTGTTTGTTTGGTGAAACAACCATCATTGAACATGGCATTCCAATCATAATCCTCGTATTTCTTCTTTGCCTTCGCAGATGCTTTGACAATTTTTTTTTGCACTTAAGATAATCAGTAACACATTCTTCAGATACTATAAACTGCCTACTGAAGTTTGAGATACTTATGGGATCTTCGTTGACAACCCTGTTGTTGGTTGGAGTTTTGTCTGCAGGAAGGTAATGATATCTACGACTTTTGTGATCTGGCCATGGGACATGTTCAATCTTGGCTACAGCACTTCTCTCTGCAGGTGCAAAAGTCACATAGTTTTCCTTGAGCATCTCTGCAAGATACTTTGAGGTACTCAAGAAACATTGCACCATGAAGACAATGAGAATCTGTAAATTGATATATTTTCTTGAAATAATTACATCCTGGTACCTACTTCTTCTTAGCTTCCGTTTTAGCAGCTGCATTATTACATTAGGGTAAGGTTTTCCCGTTGAGAAACATAACATTTTATAACTTCTCCAGCAGGACCCAGTTCATCATCAATCATTGCTGCTACATCATGGGCTACTCTACACGCATGGGCATAAGTTCATTTGATGATAGTTCATCGATCTTTTCACTTGTCAGACCATCGACAGGTGTGAAATATTTCCACTTCAATGCTGTGCCATCTACAAGAGCCTCTCCAACAGAGGAGATGCAAAATTTGAAGAAAAACATGTCAGCAGGAGCCCACAAGAAAATTTAACATGGCCAACATACAGAAACGTACTTACTAGTCTTCAGGGCACAATATGAAGGCAAAAATGGAATTGTCCCACGATATAGTAAGTTTTCCATAATTTTGAGCCTCTACCTGCCTGACTATTTGCAACTGCATAACATTAACAACCAATATATACCAGAGTTTTCATGCAGGCATGAAATTCCAGCACCCTTATGGCCTTATATTCCCATAACTATATTTATAATTTTTATTTAAGTAAGCTTCTATAACAACTCTTTTCTACTTTTACATATAGTTGCGGATTACTTGAAAAGTCTTTACAAAATTATCAAGACAGAGTCACTTTACGTTATCCAGATGGCTGCCCTGTAATGTTTCTTTTTGACAATATTAACATTCACAATGGAAGACCAAGGTATGAAAGACTAAAGCGAAAAGCACTACCAACGATGTGGAACTTCACAGTAAGGGCAGTTACGAAACCAGATATTACTGGTATTGCTGCATTGTTACCGTACCGTATGTTAACACATAGCCATTCAGCGACGAGCTTATATATTTTAAGCCATTTTATGCCAATTTAAGCCAATCAGCGATTTGTTTACATCAATTGTTTACATCGTGCCTGCTGATCTAACCTGCGAACAGGCATACTTTAGCCTTGTCAGGCCTGCCTCGTGTATAAATCGTGTTTTATATTCTTTCAAAGATATCTTGATATTTTTATCAATTTATCTTGAATTGGCTGTTTTGTTTTCTGACTTTTCTTGCCATTCTACTTGCGATATTATTCCGAAGTTATTTATCAACATGGAATCTTATCCTCATCTGGTAAGTAGTCAAATACCACATATTATATATTTAAATACCAAATTTGTGCAAATATATGTCCCACATATTTTATAAGTTTTATAATACATGAGTTCGGCAAATATTTACTATGCTATCTATAGTTAATATTGCCGTATCTTCGGCGTAGAGTTTACATGGAATGCACTCTGGAATTTTTTTATTAATATATTACACTGTTTAATAAAATATTGGATATTTTCGAGGATATTTTAAGCCATTTGTCAACATAGTTCACAAAAAGATTTATACAGTATTAAAAACAATCCTTCTGTGACTTCTGTAATATTTTATACAGTGAAAACATTCTCAGGAGATATTGAATTAAATCCTGGTCCTGTATTTCTGTACATTGACTCCATAACTCTGTTCAAAACAACAGTCCAACTATAAAGCTGTCATCAAATGTAGTCTTAGAGCAAAGGTTGAAGATTTTATCAGTTAAAATACTTATACATTTTGGTTTTACACATTAGAGTTAAACAAAATTTTTACAAACATTTTCAAATAAAAAAATACTCACCCTCCCGAGCCTCATTACATTGTCATTTTGCTTTCTAACATAAATATTTTTCTTTAGGGATTAATACAAGAATGAAGAATAAATGTACTAGATATTGGCTGCATAATTTTGTCAGAACAACCAACTTGCAAGACAATCTTACCTAAATTCATTAGTATGGAAAATAACTTGACAGCTGCAATGAGTAATCATATATTATATGGTGGATTTGATCAATGGCACACAATGTACAAAACTAAACTTGTGATACCTTCTACTCAAGCCGATAATCTCCCACAACACGATTGTTTTGTGTGAATGTGCGGTACGTGTTAAACCGAACAGTGTGGTATATCATTAACTGTGCACAGAACTGGAATTTAATTATATACTTCACTCATGACCTTCAAAACATTCTCAATTATTCAGTGGTCTTCGACATGTTCACCAAATATTTTGTGTATGTTACTCAACAGTTAACATTGACAAGTGTAAACAACAAGTGACATAACTTTTGCTTCATATGATTACAATAAAGTTTTGAAAATTTGATGAGTATGGATTGAATTGACAGGTGACAGTTTACTAAATAGCCAGCTGTATAGACACTTTGAATATTGTTTGCATGAAATTTTTATTTCCTGACTGCATAATTATCTGTTACAATCATAATCACATTATAAAGTTAGTTAAATTTTCTCGGCAGGGGGTGGGGGGGGGGGAGCACTTACCCTGCTGCACTCCCTGCTGTGTACAGCCCTGTTTTAAATCTTATCTGCCATTATAATAAGTGATGAAATATTTCAATTGTCCCATGTCATCTTCATTATTCAGTTTCTTTCAAGAAAATACAAAATGTGAATCAAGTTTTTTCGCTGATACATGTACGCGTCGCGTACCTATTTTTCAATACTTCACCTCTAAAACTGACAGTACCACGAAACCAGATTGTTCTGCCATTTATACATTCACGCTTTTGACCTCGATACAGAAACCTAGATTTATAGAAGGTGTTAATTACTGTTTTCAATAATGCCCATAAAATGGAGAACTACAAAGAGATCGGTAACATTTCATGACATATATTTATTAAATTATACAAATGTTTCGGCAACTATTAATATTACTACTACATCAATTTCTAATAACAAATATTATAAAGCTCAATAAAAAAAAACTAGTGAAAATATAATCCATTATGTATATTTTATTTCATTGTAGATTTGTATCCAGATCTTAAAGAACTTCTTCAAAACAGATACGACGCTTATTTGATTGAAGCCCTTCATATGGTCATACATGAACTAGACGTCACATACGCTGAATTTAAAGAAATAACTGCTATGTCGAAGAGCATATGATTTTGACAGCTATGTCGAAGAGCAACTATACAAGAGAGATAGTGAGGATGGTTCTGAAGAAACATCTAAGAGTTACCAAACAAACGAACGGCATGGTTCTACCACTCTCAATTGAAGATGAATCACTCACAACTGGAACTGCATCGGTATTGTGCGAATTTGCAAAAGATCTCAATATAATAATTTGCAAAACAGATGACCATCTCACGTACAACGAGCACAAGAAAAAATTTGACATAAACGCCGCATGTGAACATTATAAGTTTTATGAAGAAATGGATTGGCATGCGAAAGATATGGAGAAACTGCGAAACCAATTAGAAGAAAGCGAACCTGATGATTTTGAAACAATGGATAATATTACTGTTGACCCTAAGCCTGTTGATTCCTGTCAGGGAGGCTCATTTAAACAGCGCATGAAACAGGCGTCGAAGAATGCCAAAGACGTCATGAAGAAACTGAAAAATGATATACTCAAATTCACAAAAAGAAAGACAGAGTGTTGCATCTTCAGTCAAACAGTGGACACTGGGTTGATCTTACAGATGACAATGGATGTTCTCTGCTACACCTTGCTGTTGGAGACAAATGTGTTTGTTTAGTTGAAAGCCTTATTCTGGCTGGTTCAAATGTTTATGTTTCAGAAAGGATGTTGGATTACGCCAGTCATGATAGCAGTAAACAATAACCAACCAGATATAGTAAGGATTCTTGTCAAGTACGGAGCAAGAACAACACGAACCTTTCAAGGAAATATAGCAATGCAAATTGGAAATCATGAGATAATACAAATTCTGGAAAATCAGTCATTATACGAAACAAATGCAAGGAAAACAGTGCGCGAGGCACTTGGCTTGTCGAAAGAACTGTCATCTTTGGTGCAGTCAACAGACGTAAAATGCAGTGAAGAAAATGCATCGCTGTCATCAAGAAGTGATGTTGGATCAAATTTTAACCTAACAGTTGGAGATGCGAAATCAGCATCTACTTTGAGAGGTGTTCGCAATCGTGCACCCGATGAGTTCGGCTCTTTCAAGGAAGTTCCCGGAGACTTCCATACACAAGCCTGTGTGATGGAATGCCTTTCTTTTATCAGCAGGCCCGGGGGCTTCTTCTATACTATCAGACAAGTACTTAAGGTGACGCCAAAGTCATTTGTTGGCATTTTAAGGAAGGAAACTATGAAAGGAACATGGATGCATTGAATGACTACTGGGGACTTTGTTTTGCAGCTGTTATTTCGTTTGTATCATCCGATTTGTTTCCAGACAATGAAACACTATCTGAAATTCAATCAAGATGTGGCAACGTGAATGACGTATTGCTTGAAAAATTCAAGCATGTTGGCTGTCATCAATCGTTTTGTTTTGTGTGTTAAATAAAAAGAATTATAAAGATGAGGCTATAGCCCAGATAACTAATGATGAGTTTGTGGAGACATATATGGTACATCCTCTTAAAGTGCCCCTGGCAGCAAAAGTTTTTATTGGCGATATTAAATCTAGGTATGATTTCAAGCGTATCCGTTAAAAATTTTTCAATTTGGTCAGATTGTTCCATTTTTATGGCGGTTTAAAGTTGGCTTTCAATGGACCTTGTCCGTTGTGGCAAGGAGTCTGGGTCTAGCCCAATTTCTGATGTCACGCAAGGCAGTCGGCAATCAGCATTTAGCTTTGATCGATTTGGATTGTCGTTTTGCTGTTTTCAGTCGGTGATTCTGTTTTATATTTGCTCAAAAATACTATAATGTCTGACCATGAAACTGATTCGGAGGAGAGTTATCAAACTGATGACTCCGATATAAAGTTTATTCCGGGGTACATAATGGAATGCCCTGATCTTGGAAGTTCAGATGATGGCTCGAGCATTGAAGAGGACAACGCGGGCCTAGCATATGCCGATGAACCTTTGGCTGACGACAAGTGGCTACAAAACTACAACAGGCAAGAAAGAATGGCTAGAACTACAAGAAAAGCTAGAGAGAAGACTGTTTGTTTCGGATTATGAATATCAATATGCATGGAAATTCTTTGATTTCTATCTATAAACTTCAAATGTTTTTCTCCTTTTTTATCACAGGTGCTATTGTGGGAATTGTGACATAACCTTACTAACAAATAATAGTGAATGTCATTGTTGTTTTGAACTGGAAGGATGCGAGGAAGCTATGAATTGCAAAGACGTTATACAGGATCTCAAAGCCGAAGGCATGCAAAATGCGAAGTGTGTAACACAACACCCGGGATTCAACACCGTATGCCTTCAAAAGTGGAGTTTGAAGATGGCTGCTGACAGATATAAAACCAAATACAGTCAAACGTCAACAGAGAATAGGTTAGACAATTTATTCAATTATGTTGTTAAATTTTTCTTTGTTGCCAAAGTTTTCCCTCTTGACTTGTTTATAAAGTAGCCTCTCAATTCATTACTGTATATTAGATTAGGATTTTGGAACCAAAATATTCATATCAGATCGATAAAGTTGTTTCGTAGTCGGATCGGACTTCAATATCCAAAATAAAATGAATTAATTATCTATGCATTATCGCAAAAATTAATTATCCATGCATTTATCAAAGCATTATCGCGGTTGTTGCTGCATTATTCGTTTGATACTTCAATTGGACGTCACTTTGTCAGCTTCTTGACATGTATTTATTGCTTTTATATTTATTTGGTTAAATATTTCAACTTGAATGAGAAATTTATTTTATTAAAGAATTCTTCGGATCGGATTGGATTTCTGTCTCGAAACTCTGATCAGATTTGAATTAGACAATTTCGGATCAGATTTTAAACATTAAGTACCAAATTAAGTGCCAATTAAGTACACATTAAGTACACATTAAGTACCAAAGGGGTTCATTTTCAATGGTTTTAGACCCAACTCTCAACGGTGAAAATATGCGATTCTGACTAACATTTTTTATCGGATTCGTATTTGCTAATTTTTTTTCCATTTGGCATGAAGAAGATATCATTCAACAGCTAAAAGCATCATCCTTCCGAATGTGAAAAAATCTCGTTCATACGCAGAGTAATTCAGATACAATAGCACACTGAAGTTCGATTACCTTTTTTTATACACCCTGTAGAGAGCTTGCGAGGAGCTTGCGAGGGGGAGAAGGGGAGAGAAAGAAAGGGGAGTGCATTTTTAGCCAATCAAATAGCAGTATTTCTTCTGCCCATGTGCGTAGTAGTTTCCTTGGTTATAAGAGGGCAATTTAATGATAATTTATATTCTAAAAGTAATTATGCAAGAATTTGGCACGAAATCAATGCTAGACAATAGCATCTAGACGATGCTGTGGCTTTGTATCTTTGACTTTATTCGAATCGTTCCTTCTGATGTGATTTATGAAAGAAATGCAGTATGTTAGACGCTAATCAAGCAAAGATTAAAAGGTTAATCGAGAAAGGCTGCAGTGTGTGTATCACAGGAAAAGGAGGCTGTGGAAAGTACTTTTTATTACGTCTATAATCGAGGAATTAAGGGCAAAAGATATTTTTTTGTTTTGTAACAGCGTCAACAGGGAAAGCGGCCAACAATATCGGTGGTGTAACAATCCATTCATTTGCTGGGATCGGGACAGGTTCAAAGGGAGCTCATGAACTTTAATCTTTAATCTTTAATAAAATTATTTAAACACGGTAGCCTGTTCAGCAGATAATATTTACAGCGCTGGTTTTCAAAGGGCCGTGTGTTTACAACAGTAATATAAAAAGGACAAAAAGAATATAACTATTTACAATGAATTGATACGGATGGATTAAGTAATTGCCGTTTAAACGACAAAATTGAAAGATTGTTATAATTTTCAATAGTTTCACTTGGAAGTTCGTTCCAGGACTTAGCAGCGCTATACGAGAAACTTCGTTTGAGAAAATTTGTCTTAGGTTTGGGTAGGTTCAATTTAATTTGATTGCTTCTTAGATTGTAATTGTCATTTTGACTTACTGAAAACAATTTTTCAAGGTATCGAGGTAATCGACCAGTTAGTACTTTAAATGTCATTATTAACTGTCGTTGTTTTAGAAGTTCTTCTATTGGAAGCCAATTAAGACTATCTAGCGTTTGCATGGAACGAACCTCGTATGTGTCCCCTGTTATCACACGCGCTGCTTTCTTCTGCAGTATAAACAATTTATCAATTATCGAACAACATCCATCATTCCAGATTGTTGAACAATAATTGAAATGAGGCCACACTAAGGCATTGTAGATTTTTATCAGACTATCTCTATTGACAAACAATTTTGCTCTTTTCAGCAGGGCGATTATTATTTGAAATTGTTTTACATTGCATTTCATTATGTTTATTCCATTTTAACTGGTCGTCAAGGATCATGCCTAGTGACTTTTTTTGGTAAACTCGCTTAATGTTGTTTCCCCCTAATGTTAGTACTGGGCTATTTTCAATTGAAGCTAAGCGACGGCTTGATCCTATTATCATAAATTCACTCTTTTTCATATTTAATGAGAGCTTGTTAGCTGTCAACCACCTATGAACATTTTCAATGTCTTTATTAAGTTTGATCTCAATTTCATATGGACTAAACCCTTCACAAGAAAGGCTTGTGTCATCTGCAAAAAGATTTGCTTTAGTTGTCTCTAAACAGTTAGGAAGATCATTTATGTACAATAGGAATAAAATAGGCCCAAGGTTAGAGCCCTGAGGTATCCCGCATTTTATTTGTCTAACAGCTGACATCTTGCTATTCACAGAGCATATTTGGCTTCGACCAGAAACGTATGATTCGAACCATTTCAGGCTAGTTCCTTTAATACCATATAATTCAAGCTTTGATAAAAGAATATGATGGTCGACAGTATCAAAAGCTTTTTTAAGGTCTAGAAATAAAACTCCGCTAAGTAAACCTCTGTCCATATTGAACAACCATTCATTTGTAGAACTAAGCAGTGCAGTTTCAGTAGAATGTTGATGATGGAAGCCAGACTGCTGTTCCACAAGAATGCCATTCAACCTCAAGAATGAACTTAGCTGCAGGTATACCAGTTTTTCGAAAAGTTTAGCTACAGCTGAAATAACAGATATTGGCCTATAATTTTCACAGTCTGCCTTATTTCCTTCTTTAAATATGGGGGTCACCTTTGCTAATTTCCAATCATTAGGGAAAATTGCTCTTTGAAGGGATACATTGAATATGTTCACTAGTGGTCCTGCCACAATGTTAGATGCATCTTTTAGTAACCTTATACTAATACCATCAAGCCCTGGAGATTTCTTAGTTTTAATTTCATTGAGTGCATCTATTGTTTCTTGGAGTGTAATGCTTGTAAAGTTGAATATACTACCATCAAGAGGAGTCACAAAGTTCATTGGATCAGTGCAGTTACCTGTGATCTTGTCAGACAACGTACTGCCAATTGTGGAAAAATATTGATTGAAGGCATCTGCAATTTTATCATCGTCAGTAATAAGTTGGCCATTTATATCTAGTTCTTTAACCTCTGAAGTTTTAGGCTTTTTGTTTAATAATTCGTTAATAGTTCGCCAACTTTCTTTGCTATTTTTAGCATTGCTTAGTTTATCTCTAAAGTATTCTTGTTTAGTTTCTTTTATGAGATTATTTAACTTGTTTTTACATCTCTTGTAAGCCTTATCATAATACGCAGATCTTAATTTAATCGATTGCTTTTTAAGGTAATCCCTACGATAGCTCATTTGCTTAATTTCATTTGTCAGCCACGGTTTATATTCACTCTTGACACGACGTTGTCTGATTGGTGCATGTTTATCTGCGACGCTCAAAAACTTATTTTTAAAATCGTCCCATAAGGCATTTGGGTCAGTTAAAATAGCTGAATCCAAGGGCAAACTAAAAACCTCACTTAGATCGTTGTTAAACTGGTTAACATTATAATTTTTATAATGTCTAGTAAAGACAGTTTTTGGTGGCGCCTTAGGAATGCTGAGCTTTCGACACAGATAAACAAGACTATGATCACTGATACCAAGGTGTATTACTCCTGTATCTAATATTTTATCATCACCATAATAAGTGAGGATAACATCCAGTAGTGATGCTGTTGTATTAGTAATTCTCGTGGGACACTGTATGTGTTGCTGTAATTGATAAATGTCAATCAGGTCAACTAGTTTAGAAGTAGGCAAACTTTTGTTCTGCTCAAGAATGTTACAATTGAGATCTCCGGTTATGATAATTTCTTTATTTTCGTCCTCAAGTAGTTTTAAAAAATTTTCAAATTCGCTAAACAACTCAACGCTGGAATTTGGTGGTCTGTACCATGTTGTAATTAACTGAGGTTTACTTTTAAATTTTTTAATTTCTACGCAAATCAACTCTAAATTATCAGGGAAGAGGTCTTTGCGAATGGTGTATGGTATGTTGCTTCTAATATACATTGCAACACCTCCTCCGCTTCTGTTTCGATCACGCCTAACAATATCATAACCAGGAATTTCAATTTCACCGTTTAGTACGCTACTATCTAATCTAGTTTCGTTAAGCGTTATAATGTCAAAAAGTTTGTTTTGCATATATAGCAAAAGCTTTTTGACATTATAACGCTTAACGAAATAAATAAATATGGGCGAGAGTTACTGAAGGGCAAGACATATCAGGGTAATATATGCGCAATTTTAGGCCTAGTCGACGAAGCTCACTGTATATTAAAATGGCAAGTAAGTCTGAATTTTTATTTAATTTTATTTTGTCGAATATATTATGAAAAAAACAGTATGTAATCAAAATTAATTTATGAAATGTGATATGGTATATCCATTCATTTATATGCCTTTGGTTTTGTTTAGGGGTGGTGATTTTGGAACTGATTACAGTAAGCTGGGAGTTCTATGTGCCATATTTCCTGAAGTACCAGAACTTGCCATGACAGCAACTGCAAACCAAGGCCTCACAGGGATTAAAAAGCTGTAGGAACGTTGTTGGAAATCCGGACAGAAAGAATATTTGTAATGAAAAATTATTTATCCAATTTGTAAAGGTTTGTTGAAAGACAGAACTTATTATCCACTGACAGTCATTTATATTCCCCTGAGATGGTGTGGATATGCATACAAACTGTTTGAATCTTTGTTGGGTATTAAACAATATTACCCAGACGGTGCATTAGAAATCCCTGAGAACAGACTATTTGCACATTTTCATGCCTACCAACCAAACAGATGAAAGAACAAATCCTGCGACAACTATGTTCTGGCACTAGCACTGTTAGAGTTATCGTTACTGCTGTTGCAATGGGAATGGGCGTAGACAAACCGTCCACTCGCAATGTGATTCACATTGGTCTACCATGCAGTGTCAAGGCTTATTTTCAAGAGACTGGGAGAGCTGGAAAGGATGGCAAACCTGCACGGCCATTTTGCATTACAATCGAGATATAGCAAGGAACAGCGCTGGAATGCAAGAAGATATGAGAACTTTTTGTAAAAGTATTGACACTTGTCTGAGATTGTTGTTCCTTAAGTCGCTTGGCTATGAGAAAACCATGGTTGACCTACCACACCTCTGCTGCCACATATGTGCAGAAATACGCGAGCGCCCACATAATGTTTGTGTGATCTTATGCAGAATCTGTAAAATAGAGTGAAAAAGTACTAGGATGCTGCACAGTTTTCTCTATTTATATTATTACTGTTTCATATCATTTTTACGTACATACTTCATTGGACAAAGTTGTACATACATGTAGATGTACTTAATTTGTTTTCAGTGCAATACCTATACAATAAACTTTTTTCCACACATATATTGTTGTTGTTTTGTTCAAAATGGATACCACTTATTTGTTGACAGTTAACAACTAGACCTTGTTGTTAGTTTTTACTAACTTACAATGTTTTGATTCAATGTTTTAGCTTTATTTTATTTTATTGCCAATGCTGATTATGTAGAGTAGAGCATTGAATGAACATGTCTTTTTTCAGAGTTTGTGTTCTAATGAGTATTTTATTTTCAGTGGTTCCCACAAGCACTGTTGGAAACTGACAGATTAAGTAATTTGAGTATAGGGATTAATTATAGGGATTAATTATAGGGTAAATTATGTGACGTCATTTAATCAAAACGAGGTAATAGTGTTAGTGTGACAGTGACTACGAAGCGAAAAGTGTGATTCATTGTGAACGTGTGATTCATATATTATATTAAAGTTTATTATTTGAACTTGTGACTTGTCGAGGACAACGTAGTTTTGGAGGCGAAACATTCTCGACACGTGGCACCTCCTGAATGGGATAACTGTACCGCCAGTAAAATAAACGAACTGTGAATCCTTTGAACATGGACGAAAAGACCAAGGCAGCGACAGATCTGGAGACACGCTTGACGCAGTTAAGTTTAGCAGTAAAGAGATCGCAATCTATCATCGAGTCAGGTAAGCGAGTAGCTATAAATAGGCATCTCGAAGCGTTACAAACTACCGCTAAAGAAGCATCACGATGCAAACTCGCTGTCGAGGCAATCAAAATTGTCGAGAAAGAGGACCAAACTGTGATAAACGAATGGAGTAACGAGATTGATGCGAAATTTGACGCGGCCGACGAGGCCACAATACGACTCGAAAAATGGCTTGCTGATGCAGATAAGGCCGAGCAGTTTGTAACGCAAGAGGAACAGTTGAAATTTGAACTCAAGTTGCATGAGAAAAAGCTGCAAATGCAAGCTGAACTTGCCCAATCCTCAGTAGAAAAACCGGAAACTCAGAAATGTGAACAATTTACAACACAATCTGCCAAATTGCCAAAGCTTGTGATATAAAAATTTGATGGCTCTTGCATGAATTGGCCTAAGTTTTGGGGACAGTTTAGCGAAGCAATTGATAAAAGTTCTGTCGCCCCGATTACAAAGTTCACATATCTTTTGGAGCTACTCGAGCCCAAAGCAAAGCGTTGCGTTGAAGCCTTGCCCTTTAACCCCGAAGGGTATAATCGAGCAAAAGCCATTTTGCAAGACAAATATGGCAAAGAGCCTGAAATCATCAAATGTTATGTGAAAGAAATCTTAGACCTACCCAATGTCACGGGAAATAACCCTCGCAAGATCGCGGAATTTCACGAGAAACTTTCGCACTCAGTTCAAGCCCTCGAAACGATGAAAAAACTGCATGAAATCAACGGGAATGTTTCTATGACCCTTGACAAATTGTCTGGTATCAGGGGGGATTTGGTCCGAACCGATCCCGACTGGGAATCGTGGGACTTTGTTAAATTAGTCGAGGCCCTAAGACAATGGGTCAAACGAAATCCTGCGGTCTCTAACGTCTCTAACGATAAGGAACGAGAAGAGAACACTCGTAGAAAACTGTTTAACGCACGGGGGGAAGACGTTAGAATAAAGGGATGCGTTTATTGCGGGGACACTGGCCATAAAGCAATACAATGTGAGAAAATCGTTGAGACAAGCGAGCGTAAGAAAATTCTCGCAAGAAAGGGGTTATGTTTCAACTGCGCTATGAAACCCCACCGCGCAGCAGATTGCCCTAGCAAGTCGTCATGCCAACACTGTTCGAAACGCCATCACTCGTCTATATGTGATAAGAGATCCGGAAGCGAACAAAAGTTGATGACAGACGGTACGAGTGATGACGGAATATTCCCTGTGGTTGTCGTTAAAGTAAATGGCGTTATGTGTCGCGCTTTGATAGATTCTGGCGCCGGAAGCTCCTACGCGTCTGCAAATTTAGTTCATATGTTTGGAAAAAACCCCAGCGAAGTTAAATCGCAGCGTATCGATATGCTCATGGCCTCAAAAACAACGCGAATAGAAATATACGACGCCGAAGTGAGTTCCTTAGATGAAAGTTTCAAAATTAACGTGAAACTCTCGAAAGTCAACAAACCTGAGCTGTTGTTTGTAAAAAAATCCTAACTACGACCAATTGTTACGCAAGCACGACCATCTGCGAGGCGTTACTATGGACGACGGTGACACGAAGCCACAACTTCCCATACATCTGGTCCTAGGAAATGGCGAGTACGCGCGCATTAAGACCAGCAGTCAGCCATTGATCGGGAGAGAAGACGGCGAGCCCATAGCAGAGAAAACGAAGTTTGGGTGGGTGATAATGAGCCCTGGGATGGAATTCGAGCGAAGCACGATGCTCTTGACCCAGACCTCGCAATCAGACTTTGATAGGCTGTGCAGATTGGATGTTCTCGGGCTGGCTGATTCCACAGAAAGCGACCAAAATCTCGTCTACGAGGATTTCAAGGAACAACTGTCTCGAAGCCCATCCGGTTACTACGAAGCTAACCTGCCCTGGAAAGCGAACCACCCTCCGTTACCGACGAACGAGGCCGGAAGTCGTCGACGCCTGACCACCTTAGTGAGAAAATTAAAGAGAGATGGGAATTATGAACAGTACGATAAAATAATACGTGAACAGCACGAACAGGGAATTATCGAAGAAGCGTCAAGCGAACCGACAGGTAAAGAGCATTACCTTCCACACAAAGCAGTTTTAAGAAAGTCGGCTGAGACCACAAAGTTACGTATCGTATACGATGCCTCAGCGAAGGAACAGAGCGACCAACCGTCCATTAACGAGTGCCTTAATCCTGGACCACCATTACAGAACCTTTTATGGGAAATCCTACTTCGATCACGATTTTATCCTGTCCTGTTAACGAGTGACATTGAAAAGGCATTTCTTCAGGTGCGAATAAAAGTCGAAGAACGAGACGCCCTGCGGTTCCTGTGGCAGAATCCTGGAAGTGATGATGTAACGGTTTATCGGTTCACTCGAGCATTATTTGGTTTGACCTGTTCTCCGTTTTTACTTGGAGGAGTCATCAACGAGCATCTAAAGCACTGGGAAACCAAATATCCGAAATTGGTAAAGGAAATTCGTGACAATTTGTACGTTGATGATTTAATTACGGGGGGAGAGAACGCGCAATCGGTGAGAACGAAGAGATTGCAGGCAGTCGAGGTGTTCAAGGACGCAAAATTCAACCTTCACAAGTGGCACTCGAACGATTCCACTTTGGAAAGCCACGACCTGCCAAGCCCATTCGAAGATTTGACTTACGCTAAGCAACAGCTCGGACCACACAAATGCGAGACGAAAATCTTAGGACTTTCGTGGAATAAAACAGAAGATACCTTGACCATTCCTACCTCGCCCCAAAAGAACATATCTACGAAACGTGAAGCCCTGTCGGAACTCGCTAAGGTTTACGATCCACTCGGTTTAGTGTCTCCATCTACGCTAATTGCAAAGATGCTGTATCGTGAGATGTGCGAAGCGAAGCTTCCGTGGGATGGCGAGCTTAACGAGCGATTCAAACAACGGTGGGAAGAATGGGGAGCGCTCATTTCAGAGAAATTCACCATACCTCGCACCTTGGCCCCAGCCCACCAACGTATTTCAGCCATTGCCCTCCACGCCTTCGGCGATGCGAGTAAGTCTGGTGTGTCGTCAGCCGTGTATGCAGTGGTGCAGCAAGGGGAGATCAAAACTCAAGGTTTAGTTTGTGCAAAGTCACGTTTGGCGAAGCAAAATCTTACGATCCCTCGCCTCGAGCTTGTTGCAGCGCACATGGCCGCTAATCTTGTGTCAAATGTCGAAAAGGTTATCAGCAACTGTGACGAGATCGAAACCCATTGTTGGAGTGACTCTACCGTCGCCCTTCATTGGATTAACGGAAGCGGAGAATACCGTCAATTCGTATCTAATCGTGTAAGGAAGATTCGAGATCACGGTCACATTCAATGGCATTATGTACCGACAAAGGAAAACCCTGCGGACATCGGTAGTCGCGGTGGAAGTACGGTCAACAACGACATCTGGGTAAACGGTCCAGAATGGTTATGTCACCCGAACAAATGGCCTACGCCTGCAGTTATCGAATCCACTCCAATATCGAGCACCGAAGCGAAAGCTGTGAAAAGAATTCTCGGCACAACAACGGCGATAGATGGAGATAGAATGAATGACCTCCTCGAAGCCTACAGCTTACGTAAGATCCTTCGAGTCGGAGCGTGGATAAGACGGTTTATCACAAATTCGAAGTGCCCTATCGATGAGCGCGAAACCGGCCCCCTTAAGACAAGTGAAATCCAACATCAGTATCTATGGTGGACCCTAAGAACACAGCAAGATGCCATGACTAGCGACGAATTCGACACTGTGAGAATTCAGTTAAATCTGCAACCCAACCCGGAAGGGATCCTCGAATGCCGTGGAAGAATCGAAGGAGATTATCCTGTATTCCTTCCCCAAAATCATCCCTTTACCCGCAAGCTGATCGAAGATGCCCATCTTTCAACACTTCACGGTGGGGTTAGTATGACGATGGCCAAAGTCAGAGATACGTATTGGGTTCCCAAACTGCGACAGCTGGTGAAAAGAGTGCGAAGCGATTGTTGGGGTTGTAAACAGTTTAGAGTGAAATCGTACGAAAACCCTCCACCTGGAAGTCTGCCAGTTACCCGAACGCAGGGCTCCACGCCATTTGAAGTTATCGGTGTCGATTTTGCCGGTCCGATTCGGTATCGGACAAAAGGGAAAGCAACGAAGAAGGCGTACCTCGTCCTGTATGGGTGCAGTCTAGTCAGGGCTGTACATCTTGAAGTGCTTCATTCCATGGAATTAAACGAGTTCCTCTTGAGTCTCAAGCGGTTTATAGCGCGACGCGGACGACCAAAACTAATCTATTCCGACAATGGTTCTACATTCAAGGCAGCGGAGAAATGGTTGGAACGTGTCCAGCGTGAGGAAAAGTTGAATTCATTCCTTTCTGATCGAATGATTGAATGGAAATTCAATTTGAGTCGAGCGCCCTGGTGGGGAGGGCAGTTTGAACGGCTCGTTGGGTTGTTCAAACGTGCCTTTCACAAAGTCATCGGTAATGGTACCCTTACGTTTGGAGAGAAGGATGTTGTCCTAGACGTCGAGGTGGCTCTCAACAATCGCCCTTTGACTTACCTCGAGGATGATGTCGAGCTTCCAGTCTTAACGCCCAACTCTATGTTGAATATCAACCCAGCAAGTCAATTACCTGAATTAAAAGCGAAATATTTGGAAGAAAGTGATCTTCGGAAGCGGGCGAAATTTTTGAAAACATGCAAGCGAGCTATGTGGCGACGTTGGTCTCGCGAGTACGTAAGCGAACGTCATGTCAACACAGCGGGGAAACAAGCGACATGCCCAAGAAAAGGATCGGCGGTTATTGTGCAGGGCGAAAACAAAAATCGGAACACATGGAAACTCGGGGTAGTCTCGGAGCTGATTAAAGGTAAAGGTGGCGTCGTGCGGGGAGCCAAGTTACGAACAGTCAATGGAGAGTTGGAGCGTGCAGTGCAGCATTTGTACCCCCTCGAGTTGACCTGCGACGAAACTAATTTCCGAAAACCCAACCCAACAGCACCCTCTTTCCAACCTAGAGCCGCCAGAGACGCAGCAGTTGCAGCAAGACTGCGAATACAGACCACAATAGCAGATGATGAGAATGAGTTTTGACACCAAAGCAAACGTTAAAATAGTATATACATGCATGAGAACATTTATTTGATTAATTAATTAACTTTATATGTTTGTTTAGCAAATAATTACAACAAAGTCAGTCTCAAATGGACATATATCTCCTCATGGAGCTATATGGGGGAGTGTGTTGGAAACTGACAGATTAAGTAATTTGAGTATAGGGATTAATTATAG